CTAAAAAAGCCACCAGGCACAGTCATTTCTACAGAATCTAGAGTCATTAAAATCCTTCCAGAGCATATGGTGGGAACAGGGCATTGAGTTCATGCTCCCGAATGGATCTGATGAAGCCAGCACCATCCTGATACCAAATCTGACGAAGAAGCCACTCTACCCCACCCACACACCAATTTTACTCTGACAATGGAGACAAAAGCCCCGTGCGAAAGGCTCCCAAAAGGAATGTATCACCGTGTTGCCTGGCGCAGCCCACGCGGCCCACACCCGTCCGACCCCCCGGGGCCTGGCCTCGCTCTCCGGCACCCGGCAACGGGTCTGCAGCACGGCAGTCACAGCCGCGGACCCGGTACCGGGCCCAGGCAGCTGGAGCGGGAGTGCAACGCTCACGGAGCACAAAAGGCAGCGGCCGGAATTTCTGCTGGAACACCCTGTTGGGTAGATAACTTGTCATTTTGTTTCCTTTTAGAGAAGTTCTTAAGTGTTCATTCGCTGCATCTCCCTGCTGGGCTTGGTCACATCGACACAGTCACATCCTGATGGAACTCCCTCCTTCACTGCAGCAGTGTGCGTACCCGCCACAACTTTGGCACGGGATCTGCCTGTGGTCACTCGGGCAACCGAATCCTGGACCCAAGGAGCCTGACCCGGCTGGCAGAGCACTCGTGTCAGGCAGGAGACAGGATCCCAGCAGCCTGTGAGCTTCCTAACCAGGAAACGCTGTCACTGCACCCAGAGGCCACCTGAAGGGGCGCAGCATGTGTGGCATCAAAGACCGTCTCATTTTTGACTCATAGCTATTGACTCTTCCCAAGTGCATTAAGGAATAAGTTGCATGCAGTGGGAGTCCCCCACTTTACGTATACAGTTTGATGAGTTTTGACAACTATGTGCAACTATAAAAAAAAGACCCACAATCAAGATGTAAAATATCTTCACCACCCTGAAAAGTTCTCTCCTGCCCCTTTATAGCCGAAGTTCTTTCCCCACCTCCAGCTCCTGGCAGCCACCAATGTGCTTTCTGTCCCTAGTTTTGCCTTCTCCAGAGTCTGATAGAAATGGAATTACATGGTATGTGGCCTTTTGTGTCTGTCTTCTTTCACTTAACGTACTGTTTTTCTATTGAAATTCATCCATGGTGTATGCATCCATAGCTTGTTCCTTTTTATTGCTAAGTAATACTTCATTACGTGGAAAAATTTATTTTTCCATATATCAGAGAAGAAATATTTGGGTCATTTCCAGTTTGGGGCCATTATGAAAAAAACTGCTGCAAACCTCCACCTACAGGTCTTTGAACTGACATATGCTTTTATTTTCTTGGTCATTTACCTCGGGGTCAGGTGGCTGAGTCACATGGGTGACTGCACAAGAAACTGCCAAACTGTTTCCCAAAGTGGCTATGACTCCGCCAAGTGGCTATTGTCACTCTGTACTAGCTTGCTTTATTTTTTTTAATCCATTCTATAGGTATGTGATGGTGTTTCTTGGTGGTTTCAACTTTCATTTCCCTGGTGACTAATAACGCTAAGCATCTGTTCATGTATACATTTTCCACCACATCTCATCTTTGATGATGTTTCTGTGTAAACCCTTTGCCTATGTTTAATTAGCCTGTCTGTCTGTCTTACTGAGTTGGAAGAGTTCCATCTCTATTCTGGATTCAAGTCCTGTACTGGTTATGTGTTTTATAAATATTTTCTCCCCATTTGTGGTGTGCATTTTTATTTCCTTTTTAATTTTGGTGGAAACAATACAATCATGATCACACTGTCGGCCTCATCAAGGAGCCGCTGATGCCCCTCCTGTGCTCTTCAGCATAAACACGCCACACCACAATTTCCCTCCAAGCGCTGCTGTAAATTGTGCCCTACAAATTATATGTTGTGTTTTCACTTTTATTCAATTAAAAATATGTCTAATTATTCTCATGGTTCTTTCAATCATGAGTTAAAGTGTGCTGTTGAATCTCCAAATACTTGGGAATTTTCCAGATAACTTTCAGTTACCGATTTCTAATTTAACTTCATTATGATGGGAGACCATATCTATAGGATTTTAATCTTTAATTTTTTGCATTATGGCTGTTCCATAGGATTGGAAAGAACGTATGCATTGCTGCTGGTGGGTGTAGTGCCCTGCAGTGTCGATCAGGTTGGGCTGGTTCATGCCACCCACATCCAGACCGAGCTGCTGCCCGCCCACTCACCTGTCCCGCGCTGAGACAGAAGTACCTCTGTATTTCACCCTTCAGTTCCACCAATTGTAACTGTATTTGTGCCCCTGAGGGTATGTCCCCAGGGCATGCACACACGAGGCTGTTGTTCTTCTTCATGAACTTGGCTTATCATGATGCATTTTTTTCTTTCTTCCCGGAAATATTCTTGGAGTGTTGGCCTTTGATATACTTAGCCCCATTTTACAGATTTAATTCCATGAGCTGCACTTTCCGGGTCACACTAGTCAACCTTCCCCAAGTCCTTCTGGTTAAACCCACCCACCATTCTACTTCCTCATTCTCTCCCTACCCTGCATCACTGCCAAGTTCAGCCTCGGCCTGGACACACACAGGGATGTGTGTGTGTGTGTGTGTGTGTGTGTGTGTGTGTGTGTGAATATATACAGGAATGGTCAGGCAAGCTAACATTTCAGAGGCCTGGGCGTAAGGCCCCTTTCCTCTCTTCATTTTCTCTCCACTGTCCCAGCGATCCTTCCGGATCCTTGAAAAGCTAAATCGGGAATGAGAAAACCAGCTATCCCCAAAATTGCCACAAGGTGGTGCCACAAGCTCCTAAGTAGGCTTCTCTGGGTTCCCTTTAGGGAGTCAGGAGACTGGGACCAAGAAGCCAAGAGCCACAGAACCCCTCCCCAAGCATCTCCTCCTCAGGTGCCTCTAGCCCCTCCAGGGCGACCCACATGGTTCTGTTTGCACCACCCTGGCGGACACAAGGATTTGCCGCCTACTCCCCCTCTGCCCATCTCCTTGTTTTGTCTCTCCTGTACCACCTTCAGCCTTCCTCTATTCCTATTTCTCTCCCTATCCCCATTTCTCTCTCCCAGTCTGTCTGTCTCTACTTTCACCTTCGACAAACCTCATTCAGCAAGTCGGTTTTAATAAGCAGTTGCTGTTGTCTACGATATGGCAGACACTGCCAGGCTCTGGAGCGCAGGTCGGTCCAGGGCAGAGGCCTGTGGTAAGGCAGCCCCTCCATTCAGCCTCCCCCCTGTCCCCTCCTGGCTGAGTGGCAGAGAAGCTAGAGCGCTGGAAGTAGGCACCCTGTCCCCTCGCCCAACCCCATACAGTGGAGTCAAGCTTGGCAGAGCTACAGGAGGCACTGGGATCTTTCTTATTTTTTAATTTGATTTTTAGAGATAGATTTGCTGTTCTTCTTATTTATGCATTCATTGGTTGATTCTTATATGTGCTCTGACGGGGGGGATTGAACCTCAACCCTGGTGTTTTGGGACGTTGCTCTAAACAACTGAGCTACCCTACCAGGGAGCCCCAGGACCTTGAGAACCTCTTTAAGCCAATCCCGATGTAGTGAACGTAGGTTCTGGGCCCTGCTCCACCCCGAACTCCTATGGGAAGGTTGTCTCAGGGCCTGCTGGGCCTCGGTCTTCCCATCTGTGAAATGAGCTGTGTGGGTCCATCATTTGCTCTCTTCCACCTGGGAATCCTGAGGTTCTCCAGGACTGCCTCCCACCCGGCCTTGGCTTTGCAGGCTCAAATCCTGCTCCCAGCTTCTCCTTACATCGGCCTCACTTACAGACTCCTTGCCCTGGCTGGTGAGCTGGGCTCCACTTGGCTTAGGGTGGGAATCAAGAAACATTGACCAGGTAGAGCCAGAAATGTTTCCCCGGCCTCCAACACACAAAGGGCTTCCAGAGGCCCCACCTCCTGCTCACTGGCAGCTCATAGCTTTTGGGTTAAAGGCCCCACTGAGAGGCTAACCAGGGAGACCTATGTGAGCGACCCAGCGACTAAGATTTTATCGTCAGCACCTCTGGGGCTTCACTTGGGTGCACAGCCCACGGCTCTGTGTGGAAGTGGGTGCGTGTTTCATCCCCTCCTGTTTGCTCCCTTCTTTCTCTAGTCGCTCACATTTACGTTCCAAATGGGTCAAAAATTTACATGTAAAAATATGAAATTATAATACTACGTGGAATTCTTTTATAACCTCAGAATGCAGGTTTTTATACTTGATTCAAATCACAAATGCTTTGACCTACCAATTTCCCTTCTAGGAGTTTATCTGGAAGATAAACTCGCATACAGTTTAACTGGCATATTTAAAGGTTATTAGTACAACATCGCTTGAAATAGCAAAACCCAAGACATAATCTAAGTGTAAGACAGGTGAAATAAATCATGATACATGCATTCAATGGAATCATACGTAACTAACAAAACCAAATGGAAAAAGTCTTTGTGTATTAATATGAAAAAATAACCCTCAAGGTTTAATGTTAAGTGAACATGTGTTCACTATGTTGCAATTTGTGTAAAAAAAATGCAAAGGATATACCATGTGATTATACAAGCTATTCAAAATTTAACATGAGACATATTAGATACCAATATATAAACATCATAACTGCAGGGGCTAGACAAATAATGCCCTTTTTATTACAAAATCATAAGCATACAATTCTGCAGCATAATAGTATCACACTCAAGCACACCAAATGACATTCTGGGTGAAATGCTCCAATTAAAACTAAATTATTCCACCCACATTATCACCCTACCAAGCACACTCGGGCAGGTCTTACTCCCGCCAGACCCCGTGTTGTGGCGTGTAGGCAGGGGCAGGGTCCCGCCCGCCACGGGCATGCGCCTCCCGCACAGCCCCTACCTTCGCCCTCCTCACAGCGGCGTTCCCGTGCTCCGTACCGGAGTGCCCGGTCCCTTCTGTGTCCTCAGAAGGGCTTTCCCTTCTGTCCAATGCTTTTCCCCCATTCCCTTTTTAAAAATTGTACTGATATTTTTAGAGAGAGAAAGGGGGAAAACAATGTGTGGTCCACTTATGTATGCACTCATCGGTTGATTCCTGTATGTGCCCTACCGTGGGATCAAACCCACGGCCTTGGCGTACAGGGAGGACGCTCTAACCAACTGAGCTACCGGCCAGGGCTTCCCTGTTTTTCTTTCCTCCCTGCTGATACCTGCTCCTGTAGCTCCAAATCTCAGGCATCACCCTCTCGGGAAGCCCCTGGTCCTCCCGTAGGGACTGTAAGTTCTGCTTGGTCCTTCGAAGCCCAGGGGCCCTTGAGCCCATGCGCTCCATTTCCTGGAAGGGGTATTCATGGCCGGCAGCGGGGCCCACAGACGACTGGGGAAGTTTCAGTTTCCCTGACCTTTCCATGCCCAGAGACTCTGAGTTTCGGTTTCCTTTAAGGTCTCACAGGAAGGCCTGGTGCCAGAGGCTGTTTCTCAAGGGAGCGCTCAAGTTCCTGTGGGGCTTTTTCACAAGCCTCTTCCAGAAGTGAGACTCAGTCGAGGACTGGAGAAGTGAAAGACCCCTCCTCCAGGCCACCTGGGGTCTGGGCTGGATCAGTGGAGCAGCAAGCCTGGCCAGGTCTCCAGGCCAGGACTCTACAGGTTTTCTTGTTTCCTTCCCTCCATCCGGTGGAGAAGGTGAGCCGAGGTGTAAGAGAAGGGGAGGCACAGACAAGCCCCGACTGCTCTCCTGAATGGGGTGACTCCGCCAGGCCTCATGCCCCAACACCCCCTTTCCTGGCACACCTCTCTATCAGGAGGAACAGAGTGCCAGCTCCTGCCTCAGAGGGTTTGAGACCCTTGGCACAAAGAGGATCGTGGGCAATTCAAGAGCATCGTGAAGGTTTGTGTCATCCTGTCGGGCCCTGGTCCCTGGCCACTGACTCGAGGGCAACAGCCCGGGGATCACCCAACACCACACCTACTGCTCCCCAACGCACGTGAGTTTTCAAACCTGCGGTAGGCAGCACAGGAAGGGCAGGGCCCCCCTCATGCTGCCCTCGGCCCCAGCCTGGCCCAGCAGGCATGTAGGAGCGAGCTGTCAGGTAAGGCAAGGGGCGTTCAGGGCCAGGGAGGAGCAGACTCCACTCTCTCCCATCCTGACCCGTGGGCCTGGACTGCAATCTGGACCGTGGGCCCTGTCTGATCCCCAGGTCCCTCTGGCTGCAGTGACCTCTTCCTGGTGGTCACTTTCCTCTCCATGCCCCCCTTCCCCCAACCACACTCTGGATCTGGGAGTCTGAGCCACATACTTTGCCCCCTGACAGTGGGACCACACCAGCTGCTATCGGGCTGTTTCTGCGGGCCCTGCCCCTCCGATCGGACAGGCGGTGGAGCAGAACAGGCCTGGTGCTCCTGTCACTGTGCTGTGTGCCCAGCTCAGGGCTGGGTCCTTGGCAGGGGACTGGGAAGGGCAGGGCAGCCCGACTCAACCTCCACTCACCGGCCCCTGGCTGGGTCTGAACCTTCTCAGGGACTCAACACCCAGAGGTGTAGCCCCAATGCCTCTTCCTTCAAGATGCCCCTGGCTTGGTGCCAGGCTTGGTGCCAGGCCTGGGCTGGGCTACAGATGGTCAGCCAAGGCTGCGACTTCAGGGTTCTGAGGGCAGCCTCCAGTTTCAGGGCCACTGCTAGGCCGCCCTTCACCTTTAGCCGCCCACTCACGTAGGCCCCTGGGGCCAGCTCGGCTATCTGAGTTGTCCTGCTGGTGAGGACAGGGTGGGGAGATAAAAGCCAGGACAATCAGTGTCTGCACATGGTGTCTGCGCCCCTGACTGCTATGGCTTCACCCTAAACTGCTATCGGGAGCGGCGTTAGTCTAAAAAAGGACCCAGGGGAGAGGGTCGGGGCTACCAGCAACCTGGGTGGGAAAGAGAGGGCAGGGAGGGCAGCTGCACCTGCAGTGAGGTCCAGGAAGTAGATGCTCTCTGGGAGCCACTGGGCAGGATGACCTTGGACTGGCAGCAGGCCCCGACCTGGCTGACCAGGGTCTCAGACAGGTAGGGCTGCAGAGTAGCCAGCAGCCCCTCGGCCACAGGCTGCTTCACGCTGGGCCCAGCACCGATGTGAGGGGCAGGCAGCTCCACTTCACTCACCATCTCCAAGGTGTCTGTGGTGGGCAGGGAGGCAGAGAGGGGAGATCAGTTGGCTGCCAAGGTCAGGATCACTGGTTCGCAGCAGTTCCTTCTTATATCCCCTTCAGGTCCGGATTCAACTTCCTCCTCGGCTAAGAAGATGCTCTTGAGTTTTCTGCCTTAACTCCCAAACCCCATTTCTAAGGGACTCCAGTCACGAATGGAAATCTCTTTTCTGGGTGTTGCTGCTTCCTGCTATGACGCAGGCTACCAAAGCCTTGCATGCACTCACAAACACCTGGGCTCTTCCCGCTGCCCGAGTTCTGGGCAGCACCAGAATCACAGTAGCTGGACAGACAGGCAGGGCAAGGACGACACAAAGATACTTGGTTAAGGGAGCAAGTAGGACAGCTCAGCCTGTGCTGGACACCAAGTTGAGTGCCCTGCTGAGTCCCCACCCTTTTCTGGAGGCTCCTCACCTTGGCCCGGGGAAAGGGTACATCCTGCCACTGAGGTCACGCCCACCCCCAGACCCGGGTAGCTGGCTGCTGGAGGGGGCTGTCTCGGGGCGGCTGCAGCACGGCCTCCACTGCCAGCTCCACGAGGTCCACCTTGAGCCCCTGGGCCCTGGTCACATCGTTGATCTCCAGCTGGAGAAATGGAACTCGCTGAGCACACCCCGGAGCGGCTTCTCTGCGCAGGCTGGGTTAACCACACGTGGACACGGCGGCACACGGGGCACCAGACCTCCCCCGACAAGTCTCCCCCTGGGCACACAGGCAGGAGACAATTACAGCCCAGCTGCGGGCTGCTGGCAGTACACACCCAGGGCTTACTTTACCCAGGCAAAGGGCTTACTTTGGCAGGAAAGACATGGGGCAGCGAGTTAACCAGGCGAAGGGGCGTGAGGGAAAGGAGGGCCCTTCCAGGCAGTGGGAACAGCACGTGCACAAACCCAGACAGGAGAACCTGGAACATTCTGGAACTGTGACTAACCACAGCTCCTTCAGTTAGACACTCAGGTGTGGGCTGGGAGACCGGAGACAGCTGAGGGGTCTGGGTGGCTGCTCCCGCTCACCTGGACTCATTTTGAGGTGCAAGAAGCCCCAGAAGGAGTTTGCAGGAAGCTGGCAGAGCAGACTTGCTTGCTGGGAAGACTCTCTTGCTGCCGTGTGGACACGGGGTTGGAGGGCTGAGGGCGGAGGCACAGGGACCGCGCAGGACGTCGTTCAAAGTGCCCACGGAAGCGACGTGCACCTGGTGCTGGGCGGACAGGCGGCCGTGGAGAGAAGATACGCCAGGGGAGGGAGACAATTCTGTGAACCGTGTGAAGCTACAGCGGACACTGGAGAAAGAGAACCAGCGGGCCAGCTGGCTGCCCAGGTGTGTGATGACAGGCCAGACAACTCGGGTTTCTGGCGTGGCTCGTACGTGTGGATGCCTGCCAAGGAGGACACACAGTGGGTGACGCAGAACTGGGGACGTGGAGAAGAGGGAGGGTCATTATTTTAATGCATTAAAGCCTGAGGTGTGCACGGCGCAGCCAAGTGTCCACTAGGCAGTTGGATAAATGGGTCCAGGGTGCAGGGGAGAGTTGGGCCGGAGCAGAGTGGTAGGAATAATTAGTGTCCAGAGGGAGCATAAGCCCCAGGTAAATGAGGTCCACCCAGGTCACAGAGGAAAACAGGCCATTCACAGAAACCTGGACTCTGAAGAGCAGGGCAACAAGGAATAACAACGGTAACCAGAAGGAAGGAGGAAAGCCGGGGTGTGGAGAAATGCAAGCCCAGAACAGCAGACAGTCCATCGAGAGTACGAGAAGGAGGGGTCCCCAGAGTCAAAGGCTGCCAGCAGGTGAGGAAGGGGAAGGACTGAAAAGTGCCCTCTGCATTGACAAGGGGGAGTTCACCGTGATGTCTGTCTTAGGAGCCTTGAAAAAGCCTAGACTAAGGACAGGAAGAAAAGAAGGAAACGAGGAGAGAGGTATAAGGGCAAGAAGGGAGGATGAAAGGATAATGAAAGGATAAAGGGAGCAGGGTCCTGGGCCCAGAGCACTGCTGTTGCAGGGACCGTGCAGCCTCAGACAGAGGAAGCAGATGTTTCCAATGAGGCAGAAAAAATAGCACAGATGCTGATGAGTCCACAGGGATGATACTGGAGGAAGATGAAAGAGTTCTTGTCCTAGAGTTTTTCTCACCTGAGCTTTAGGAGGCCGGGCCTGCTGCAGAGAGTGATGCGTGAGAGTGGGAAGGCTGAACCAGGAGAGTGAGGGGTGAAGCAGCTGGCCTGGAACAGCTAAGAAGAGTCCAGCAAGGCAGGGAGTATTCAATCCCTCCAGATGAAACGCTGGCAAAAGGGAAATAAGAGAGAAAAATGTAAGCCAGGACTGGGACTTAGGGGGATGTGTGGGATTTCCCAGGATTTCATTTTAACCAGAGACACCGACTCCACTTTACCAGCAGCCAGCTCAGCCTGGGCTGGGCCCTAAATGACTCTGACATCCTGGTGTGAGACTGACTCCTCTCAAACCTCCTCTCTCGGGTTTGGGCACCAAAGCCAAGTGGAACAGGCCAAGATCAATTTTCTTTTCCTCAACACAAATTAAAATGCAATGAGGGTCTATACACAAAAATTGTTATCAATTTATTATCTGGGTTGTATAAGATTGAACACTGACCGTGAACTTAGGAGAAAAACAGACTCAGTGAGAACTTACACAAAAAGGTGGAGACCATAAAAAAGAACCAGTCAGAAATGAAGACTACAGTAACTGAAATGAAGAACACGTTTGATGGAATCAACAGCAGATTAGACAGATGGAATCAGCGGTTTGGAACACAAGGTAGTGAAAAACACTCAAGTGGAACAGCAAAAAGAATTTCAAAAAATGAGCACTGTTTAAGGGACGTCTGGGACATCAAGCATAAAAACATTTGCATTGTGGGGGTACCAGAAGGAGAAGAGAAAAAGCAAAAAACTGAAAATCTATTTGAATAAATCATTATAGAAAATTTCCCTAACCTGGCAGAGGAAATAGACACACATATCCAGGAAATGCAGAGTCCCAAACAAGATGAACCCAAAGAGGCCCACATCAAGACACATTTAATTAAGATGCCAAAGGTTAAAGACAAAGAGAGAATCCTAAAAGCAGCAAGAGAAAAGCCTCTACCTGAGAGCTCTTAGAAGACTGTCAGCTGATTTCTCAACAAAACCCTTGCATGAAAAAAGGAATTGGTAAGAAATATTAAAAGTGATGAAAAGCAAGTACCTATAGCCAAGATTATTCTACCCAGCAAGACTATCATTTAGAATTGAAGGGGAGAGAAAGAGTTTGCAAGACAAGAAAAAGCCAGAGGAGTACATCATCACCAAACCAGTATTATTAAAAGATATGTTAAAGGGATTTCTTTAAGAAGAAGAAAAAAGAAATTAAAAATACAAATAAGAAACTGGTAATAACTACATACCTATCAATAATCACTTTAAATGTAAACTGATTAAATTATCCAATCAAAAGACATAGGTTGTCTGAACAGGTAAAAAAACAAGACACACACACATCCCTGCCTACAATGGACGCACTTCATAACAAAAGACACAAATGGACTCAACAATAAAGACAAAGTAAAAAACAGTGTTGAGATTCAGAACAGATTTAATTAGACATAGAAAAATAAAGAAATATATCATCCTTAAAAAAAAGTCACATGCAAACTGAAAGTAATGAAAACAGGTATTTCATGCAAACAGTAATAAAAATAAAGCTGGGGTAGCTATACTTACATCCAACAAAATAGACTTCAAAGGCTGTAACAAGGGACAAAGAAAGACATTTCATAATGATGAAGAGATCATAAGAGGATATAGTGGGAGCACCTACATATATAAAGCAAATATTGACAGATATAAAGAGAGAGATCTACAGTAGTACAGTCATAGTAGGGGACTTTGATATCAATAAACAGATCATCCAGACAGAAAATCAACAAGGAAACAGCAGCCTTCTATGATACATTAGACCAAATGGACCCAATAGATTTTTTTAAAGATTTTATTTATTTTTAGACAGAGGGAAAGCAAGAGAGAAAGAGAGGGAGAGAAACATCAATATGTGGTTGCCTCCTGAGCACCCCCTACTGGAGACCTGGCGGACAACCCAGGCATGCGCCCTGACTGGGAATCAAACCTGCAAGGACCTAATAGATATTTTTAAGAACATTTCACCTTAAAGCAGCAAAATATACATTCTTTTCGAGAGCACACGGAACACTTTCCAGGATAGACCATATGCTAGGTCACAAAACAAGTTTCAATAAACTTAATAAGATTTAAATCGTATCAACCATCTTCTCCAAACACAATGGTATGAAGCTAGAAATGAATTACAAGAAAACTGAAAGCACACACACACACACAGAACAAGTAACACGTTACTATAAAATGGATGGGTAAACAATGAGATCAATAAAGAAATAAAAAATATTGAGACAAAAATGAAAACACAACAACCCCAAATATACGGGACACAGCCAAACCGTTTCTTAGAGGGAAATTCATGGTATTACAGGCCTACCTCAAGAAACAAGAAAAATCTCAAGTAAACAATCTAACCTTCCATCTAAAGAAACTAGAAAAAGTTAAATAAAGTTGATAAACCTTTAACCAGATTCATTAAGAAAAAGAGCAAGAGGACCAAATAAATAAAATCAGAAATAAAAGAGTAGTGACAACTGACACCACAGAAATACAAAGGATTGTAAGAAAATATTATGAACAACTTGGACAACAAATTGGGCAACTTAGAAAAAAAGTGGATAAATTCCTAGAAACATAAAATCTTCCAAGGCTGACTTAAGAAGAAACAGAAAATGTGAACAGACTAGTAGCTACTAACAAATTCAAATCAGTAATCAAAAACTCCCAACAATCAAAAGTCCTGGACTGGATGGCTTTAGAGGTAAATTTTATGAAACATTCAAAGGAGGATTAATGGCTCCCCTCCTCAAACTATTCCAAACAACTGAAGAAGAAGGAAGGCTCCCAGACTCATTTTATGAGGCCAGCATTACCCTGATACCAAAACCAAAGACAGTATAAATGAAAGCTATAGACTAATATCCCTGGTAAAAATCAAAAAGAAAATCCTCGACAAAATATTAGCAACCTGAATTCAGCAATGCATTAAGAAGATCATACATCATGATCAAGTTAGATTTATTCCTAAGGAAGCAAGGCTGGTTCAATACCTGCAAATCTATAAATGTGATACATAAACAAAATGAAGGATAAAGATCATATGATCATAGCGATAAATGCAGAAAAGCATTTGACAAAAGCCAACATCCAGTTATGATAAAAACTCTCAGCAGAATGGGAATAGAGGGAACACACCTCAACATAATAAAGGCCATACATGACAAACCCACAGCTATCCTCCTCCTCAGGGGGGAAAGCTAATAGCACTCTCCTTAAGACCAGGAACAAGACTACCACCACTTGTTACTCAATATAGTATTGGAAGTCAACACAACAGACAAGGAAGAGAAATAAAAGGCATCCAAATTGGAAAGAAAGAAGTAAAAGAGTATGCAAGTCATTATTTGCATATTACATGATGCTATACAGATAGAATCTTAAGGTTCCACACACACAAAAAAAAAACTACCAGAAAGAGAAATTAAGAAAATCCCATTTACGACTGGATCAGAATGAATAAAATACCTAGGAATACACTTAACCAAGGAGGCAAAAGACCTGTACCTGGAATACTGTAAGGCGCTGAAGAAAGAAACTGAAGATATAAATAAATGGAAACATATACCCCCGCTCATGGGTAGGAAAAATGAACACCATTAAAATGCCCATACGGCCCAAAGTAATCTAGAGTTTCAGTGCAATTTCTATCAAAATACCAAAGGTATTTTTCACAGAATGAAACAAACAATCCTAAAATTTGTCTGGAACCACAAAAGACCCCCAATAGCCAAGGCAATCTTAAGGAAGAACAAAGGCGGAGGTTATCACACCACCTGGTGTCAGACTACACTATGAGGGTATCGCAATGCACTGGCAGAGAAACAGACATATAAAGCAACAGAACAGAGAGCCCAGAAACAAACTCAACTTTATGGTCAATTCATATTTGACAAAGGAAGCAAGAACATACAATGGGGTAAACACAGTCTACTCAATAAATAGCGTAGGGAAAATTGGACAGATACATGCAAAAAAATGAAACTACACCACCTTCTTCCGCCATATCCAAGAATTAACTCAAAATGGATTAAAGACTTCAATGTAAGACCCAAGACCATAAAACTCTCAGAAGGAAACCTGCTAATTCTTAGCTATCACTGTCAGTAATACTGTGTTACTGAAGGGAGGCTTAGCCACTGCTTATATTTACTACTTGGTTAACTACGTGATGATTCTTCTTTGGAGCTGGGCTACACTTAATCAGGTTGGGTTCCTGTCAAATGCATCCTATTTCTGGCTCCTTCAATAAAATGCTGCACTACATTTTGACACTTAATCAAGAATGGCATTTAGAAAGAACTACCCAGACCTTGAGACACTTGTCCTACCTAACACAGCCACTATGGAAAACAGAGCGTAGGTTTCCCTGAAAATTAAAAATAGAACTGCCCTATAAACCAGCAATCCTACTTCTGGATATTAACCCCAAGAAATCCAAAACATTAATTCAAAATGTTATACGCACCCCTATGTTCACTGATGCTTTATTTACAGTAATAGCCACAATATGGAAGCAATCCAAGTGTCCATCAATAGATAGACACAAGCAGATAATGAAAAAGTGCTACACAGACACAACAGAATACGACTCAGCCATAAAAAAGAATGGTATCTTCCCATCTGCAACAACACTGATGGACCTAGAGGGTGTCACGTTCAGTGAAATAAGTCAGATAGTGAAAGACAAATCACATGATTTCACTTATATCCAGAATCTGAAAAACGAAATAAATGAACAAGTCAGAAACATACTCATAGATACAGAGAATAGACTGATGGTTGCTGAATGGGAAGAGGGATAGGGGTTTAGGTGAAAAAGGCGAAGGGATTAGTAAGTACAAATTGGCAGCTACAAAACAGTCAATGAGCATGTCAAGTACAGCACTGAGAACACAGTCAATAATATTGTAACAACTACACATGGTGTTATTGGGGGGATCACTTCATGAGTTATATACATGGTTAACCAGTATGCTATACACCTGAAACTAATATAATATTGAATGTCAACTATAATAGAAAAACATTTTAAAAAAATGTTTTAAAATGATCTAGCACTGGGTTGGGAGGTGGGGGAGCAGTTGTTCTGGCTCTGGTCCAGCTCTGCCCTTGACCATGGTTCTCAGAGGCATGCAAAATAATTTCTGAGGCTTAGTGTCCTCCCTCCAAAATAATACCGCATCAGCCCTCTTGCAGCAACATGCAAAGCTGGGATACAGGGGAGCTGGCAAAAGGACTTATAAACTATAAAACGCTCTGCCCACGAAAGCTACTGCCACTATCACAAGTAGTGTTTTCCCTGGAGTTTCACCGAGGTGGCGGATTTACTTCCAGAAAGGACTGGGACCTCTGGGACTGGCACTCCTTTCCTCTAACCCCAGTTCACCGGGAAAGTAGAGCTGAGAGGAATGAGGGGCAAATTCACCTGTGTCTCCCTGTTAGGACACGGGGTCAGGGGACACACTACCACCTGTGTATTCATTTCTACCCCAACTTGTCATAGGATTTAAGGTGAATTCCAGTGTAGACTACTGCTCACCCATGGAGAAGCAGGACAAAGTTCCAACTGTCCTGTGTCCCTTTGTTCGGTGAGAAGCCGGAAGACAAAATCCCCAAAACGCACACGCTGCACTGAGGGGCAGAGAACTCCCCAGAAGGTGAGTGGGCCAGGCAGGCCCCACGCCTTCCATCCACCTGCCTGCCCCAAGTCTAATGAAGGACCCTGGGGCCCGGTGTTGTCATGGCAATGCCGACAGAACAGTGAAGGCAAAACCCCAGCAGTCTGAGGCAGACCCCAGGAATTCCTGTCAAGCCATGCCCCTTGGCTTTAGGAGACTCCTTTGCCCCAGATTCCTGTGCCCATCTGGCATTCCTCAACTCATAGTCCCACCCACACCACTGGCTCTTCGAAGGCTGTCACACTCTTCAGGCATATGGTAAACTGAGGCCCAAGTGACCTGCTGCTTTGTTCCAAGCATCCCGCAGGCAGAGCCAGGCCCAGCAGCCGGCCACCGACTCTACCCCGGGAAAAGCTGCCTACCAGGAGCTGGTCGCTGATCTTGAGCTTCTCCATCTGGGTCTTCCGCAGAGGCCTCCTGAGCAGGGCCTTGGTCACGGTGTTCTGGGCTGTCATGCGTGTGTCTGTGTTCAGGTCCTTCACAGTCATCACTGACAACACTGGGTCCCAGATGCGGAACTGGACATCAGCCCCCACAGACAGCACAGCCCCATCCTTAAAAGCCAACTGTTGGGAGAGGCCATGAAAGAGGAGACAAGAGGCGGAAGCTGCAGGGAGGTCACTGAGACCACTCAGCTTGATCCACCCACCTGGTCGCTAGTGCCCTGTGGACTAGATGGTGACCCCAAGTACATGGAGTAAGGTATATGGAGCAAGGATGGGCTCCCAGCCCCCATCCTCAATTTTCTGGTCTCCTCTCTATCATCCTTCCCCTGTCCCTGATGGCTACTCATAGGCCAAGGTACTGGCACCAAGAATACACTCTACATAAGCCCCACTCCCCCCGTCCAGGTGAGCCAAGAAGCCCCTCACCTTGCAAGGAGGGACATGAAGGCTCGTGTCCTCAGATCCACCCTCTGAAAGGAGTCAACGAAGGGCAGGAGAAGAACCATGCCAGGCCCTTGAGGGGTGCAGATCCGGCCCAGTCGAAATACGATCATCTGCTCATAGGTGGGCACAATCTGTCCACAATGGCAAAGGAAGAGTTGAGGGCAGGGAGCCCAGGCTGGTGATGACAGCTGCCCAGGGCCGTCCCTCCCCTCTTTCCCCCTTTCCCTGGGCCGGGCCGTGTCAGGTATCCTTCAACTCTCTGTTTTCAGATGAGAAGACCAAGGCTCTGAGGGGTTAAGTGACTTGCTCAAAAATCACACATCCCTAACTGAAATAGGCAAGATCTGAATGGAATTCTGAATGCTCTCAACCACCACACCGCATTAGCTTGATCCTCAGAGAAACGTCTCAGTCTGTGGTCTGAAGCTAGATGTGACTCACAGCAGGAAACTGTCGGCTCTGGAATTAGCTGGGAGCAAATTCTGGGCTGCTCCACCCACAATGCCAAACAAAAGGCTTTGCCAACTTCGGGTGCCTGGAGTCCACAAAGAAGCAAATACATCCAAATTGAGAAATGAAGGCCCGGAGAGGCAAAGTGACTTGCCAAGGTCAGAAATATTTCAGCGGCAGTTTTAGGGCTAGGATTTAGGACTTTCTAAGGATGTCCTTCCAGGCCACACCTAACCCAAAGGCTTTGTAGAAGAGCTGACTGTGGCCTAGGGCCACACAAAGGGCAAGGCCTGCCTGGGCTGGCACTTCACTGCAGCTCTGGCGTGTGGGTCTCAGCTGCAGCTCACCCTTTTCCCATCTGCACCGCCCCCTGTGAAAACGAGGCTGGATTTCCTTGCACTCATTATCTGCTGGACAACTTGAGTGTTTTTTATTTCTAATTTAACTTAACCTAAAGCACAGGCCCTCCACCTCATTTTATCTGACCCGGCACCTTGTTTCTACCTAGCAGCATGGCGAAGCTCTTGCTTAACAGTTAAGGAGTAACGACATTCATACAGTCCTAACATTACATTCAGCCCTTGGAAGTCAACGGCGAGGCTGATGTGGCCCCCGGTGAAAATGAGTTTGACGCCCCTGATAAAAAAAGGTAGGAAGATCTGGCAAAAATATCTGTATGCACCTGAACGAGATTATCCAGAGCCCATCACTTGGCAGTTTGGTTCCCATGTGACTTTGGACACATCTGAGTCTGTTTCCTCATTTGAAAGATGGTAATGAACAGTGCTCACCCAGCCCATTTCACAGAAGTATGATAACAAATATTTAAGGAAAGGAAGCAGAGGATGGAAAAGTCATCCATCAGTGCTAAAGCTCTCAGTATGGCCCAGCCACTCCGGGGCTGTCCCAGTCAGCCTTACCTTCAGGGCAAACCAGCCAGAAATGGGGAATGTAATCGGCAACAACAAGAACCCCAGGAAACTAATGAGGACACAGCAGAGGCAAGAGGGCCAGGTCTGAGGTGCATCTGGGAGGAGAGAACAAAGGCAGCCAAGGGACACCAGCTGGACCTGCCAGCACAGCTGCAGGCAGAGTGATGTGGTCAAGTATGCCTTCTGCCCTCCCCCTTCCTTCTCGGGACTCTCAACTGCCTCCTCGCCTGACATTCCCATATCTTTGGGCAGGTGCTAGTTAAGGACTGTTCTCTCCTCCCACACAACAAAACTAATCTGTCCGGCCCTGGCCGTTAGCTCAGGTGGTGGGAGCATCACCCCATACACCAAAAGCTTGTCAGTTCTATATCCAGTCAGGGCATGTACGGGAGGCAACCGATCAATGTTTTCCAATGTTTTGCTCTCACATTGATGTTTCTCTCCCTCTCCCTTCCTCTCAAATCAATAAACATAGCCCCACGTGAGGATTGAAAAACAAAAAACTAATCTACCCCAAATCCAACCAACCCTCCCAAGATTATTCTCTGTTGGACAATGGTCATTGTATCAAAGAAGCAAACCATGTGACGCCCTCCTCACTGGGCTGAGCAGGAGCAATCTTCTTATCTGATTTACAATGTATTGCCTCCCCAGACTTGGCACAGAGCCAGGAGCACCTGGGAATCTGTAAACGCAGGCTGGGTTAAACTGAAAGCTGCAGGCATAACACACCCCTCTCTCCCAGCAGGCCCAGGAGTTTGCTTTCAAGGAGTCCTTTGCCTAAACAAATAAAGCATTCACAAATAGGAGCCACAGGGCAGGACTAAGATGCTCTTTCCTAGCTCACAATTCTTTCCCCCACTGTAATGCCCTAAGGACCACCAAATGCATGCTTCACTTGAAGAGCTTCGGGTAGGAGGTGGGGAGGGAGAACTAGGAAGATGAGGCTCATCTGAGTCAGAGGTTCTGGCCCCCGGAGAGCCAGGAACCCAGGATGGGAGTGAAGCTGAGCCAACCTCAGAATCTGGGATGAGGTTATTCTCTTCTCTTTCCCTCCCGACCCTAGACAGGAAGCGGGCAGGAGCCTCTGCCCCATCTTCCCAGGAACCCCATACATGCCCTCTAGGTTCCCTGCGTCCCCGGGGTCCTAACTCTCCTTTCCTGCCTGGCTCCAATCCACATGGCCCCTTCAGAAAAGGAACCCTTGGATACGGCAGCTGTCATTACAGGTGGGTCAGGGAGGGACAGACTCCTCCAGAATTTGGTTGTGAGGCTGAGGAATGTGGGACTCAAGGCTTTGGGGCAAGACAGGGCCAGAGCAGACCAGAGGCAACTGAGAGCCTTTCTAGCCTGCACGTCTCCACCAGTAAACAGGTGCTCAAGCTCAGGGAATCTAAGAGATGGGGGTAGGGGCAGTGAGGATCCTAACACTTCTCTGCAGCCCAAGTGCCCTTGGCGTGCTGATGACCTTCTTTCTATTCCTAGACCTTTGTTTCTTCTCGGTCAAAATGGAAACTTGAAACCTCTGCCCCGGCCTAAAGGGCTGATAAGAACCGAGGAGGGAGAGGGGCGAGGTTCCTCGAAGATGAGAACTCTGGGGCTGCAGCCCCAAGGCGCTAGAAAGGACAGATCCGCGCTAGCATCCAGCGCTACACATGCTCCTCTCGACATCGAGTCCCTTCCCGCCCCCTGCGCCTAGGGTGCAACTATGCCAGACGAGCTGACTTCTCAGGGGAAGAGAGTCCGGGTCGCCCTCCCACCTCCCGGGTCCTCTATGCTGGGAGTGGGGGGCGGCCACTCACCAGCCCCGGGTCCCACGCTGCCCGGCTCCGAGAACAAGTAGTCTTTCGGTGAGCCCAAGAAGCCGAAGCTTGACTGCTGGAAACGGTCAAAGTCCCCCCAGGGCAGCGCCCGGTAACCTGACCTGCGGACCATGGTGCTTGACTGTAGGGGTTGAAGGGACACATCCCACGCCCCCGCACTTCGCCCGACTGACCAGCAGGCCCCCGCCCCTGCCCGCCACCGCTTCCGGTTCTCCCTGCGCGGCCAGCAGCGGCGCTCGGGATGCAGGACCCGGAGGCTGGGCCGCCCGCCTCCCGCCGTCTCACGGCGCCACCTGCGCCCGGAGGGCCGAACTGCGGCCGCGGGGCTGGGAGGGAGAGAGGTCTGCGTTCCCGGAAGTCGGCTAGAGTCCCTGCCTCCTTCTGCTTGCTGCCCTTTGGCCTTAGCAAAGCTTCGGGAGGGGAAGTTGGCTTTGAAAGAGATTTTTCAGTAGCCGAATCTTATCTAGAATTAGGGAAAAGGTACCATTCCCTCTCCAAACTCAATTACTAATGGGGCGGCGTGGGGGGGGGGGGAGTTGGGGGTGGGAAGGCTATTATTTAGAGTTACGGTTTTTCCAGGGCATGGTCGGGAAATCATTCCACTTTGTGTCCCCACAGCCTAGTAAGAAGGGCCTGGCACAGAGTGATCTCAGTACTTTTTTGCTGACTAAGTCACTGTGGTCAAGGTGGGGCGGGAAGGCCTGAACTTTGGCACAAAAGGACTGAAATTTCGGGTGCAGACTTCCGGAAGCACGGTAGAGTAATGAATGAGGGGTTTGCACAGAGTGGTCACGGGCAGACCCTCCAGAGAGTCCAGAGGTGAGATCTTCATTCCTATAGGTCCGGAGACAGCACACCTCTTGATTCAGTTACCCAGAGGTAACTTGTCTCTCCATGGTGTGAGAAAACCCAAATGCAAATGGAGAATTTACCCTGAGAAGCATCAGCTTCCAGTAGGGCATTGAGGCAGGCTGTCTTCCAAAATGAGCAGAGAGGTTAATAAAGCTCTCCTTGTCTCAGCCACATGCCAGTCTGCCTCCCAGCAAAAGCCCAGCTCCAGGTCCCTGCTGCAGAGGGCTGCTCACCATCTTTGGCTTTTCCTAGTTTGGTGGCCTGATTGTAAAGCCCTAGGGATCCTGATCAGGCTGGAGGGTAGAGCAGGCTCCTGAGGGCTTGGCACAGTCCCTGCCAAGGGACTTGGTTGCCTCCTACTTCCCCTCCATTCACTCCTTCAGAGTATAAGCCTTTGTAAGAGCAGATCCCTGTCACCACCCCTTCTAGTCTGTTCTAAGCCGGAACTGAGCATGGGAATAGGTGCACAAGGGTCAGCGTAGTGGTTAGGATGGCCCCAGTAAAGCCACCTGGGGCTGTACTTTCTCCCTTCACCAAATGGGGGTCTGGCATGCTTCTCTGCTGACCAAGAACTAACTTGCTCCCTCCTCACTCGTCATATCTGGTCTCCAGCTCTTCTCTTTCCTTTCCTATCCCCCAAGGCCTAAGCTTTACCCACCTTTCTAATTATCACCCAAGGCATCGGCCTGTTCTCCTCTCTGCTCAGTGTCCTCCTAGTGCCTCTGACTCAGATCCCTCCTTGTATCCCACAGTCCCATTCTACAACAGACCACCTACCCCTAGGTTGTCAGAGTGACTTTTCTGTCATGCACAGTGGATCACATTTTTCTGGGTTCCAAACCAACTCTATTGTCCAAAACACTGGCCCACCTCCTTAGCTATAATCTTGCCCCACTCCACTCTCCAGCCAACATTGCTCATGGATCCCTCTTAAATCAGAAAATAATCAAAACTAGTTTCTAAACAGGCTGTCCTGTTTCATACCTTCATGCCTTTGCACGTATGTACTGTTCTCTGTGTTTAAATAGCCTTCCCAATCTCTGAATCCCTGGTGAATTCCCACTTTTCCAAGTCCCAGCTGACAGACCTCCTTTCTAGCCTGTCTCAATACTGTGTGAAAATCTCCATGTTTAGGGACTGCCCTTCCAACTAGATCTGGGATTCTTACAAAGCAAGAGCCCTATGTGGCTCATCTCTATGTCTGGGGCTCCCAGCTCGGAGCTGGCACAAAGTTGTGCCACTGTGGGCTGATGAATGGTTCAAAGCCCAGGGCCAGGGCTGCCTCCCCATCAGCTCTCCCACTTTCCCATTACCCCAGCTGGGAGTGTCTTCGAAACCCACTGTCTGCCTCTCCGCCCCTAGAACCGCCTCCAGCTCCTGTCTCACTTCCTCTCCGAGACTGGCCCAGAACTGGCACCTCCCCTTTCGGTCGGCTCCGGAAACTCAGCCATCTGACGTAGGATTTTCGTTCAGCTTTTCCCGTCCTGCTAGATCAAAACTGAGAATCGAAACTGCGCGGGGGTTCGTGCAGCAAGAACCTGTACCCGCCGGGTCTTTGGGGTCCCAGCAGGACTCCGCACTGCCGCACGCGCCCACCATGCCTCCTCCGGAGCCCTCCCAAAACCACCAGCCTAGCCCGGACCACAGCCCCACGGAGGTACTACTTGGTTTAGGGAGATGGGGTTTAGGCTTTGTTAATTCGCTGTGGTGGAGGGAGAGGCGAGAAGGGAGAAGGAACTTGACCACCAGATACGCAGAGGGAAGACCAGACCCTAGGGTCCTGACCCCCTCGGCTGGAGTAGGAGTAAGGGCAAGGGGAAAAAGGGATCAGGGTGAGGTAGGGGAGCCCTCTCTGGGCTGCTATTCTCCACTGATTAGAGAGGCACGTGGGACCAGACTCTGTCCCACGTGTGGGCGACTTGCTTCTTTGCCCCTACTTATTGCCCCTGCCTCAGCATGGCTCTTGACTGGGGAGGGGGATTGGGAGGAACGTTGGAAAAAACAAAGCCCAAGAACCAGATCAGAATGGGAAACCGTGGCCTGGATAAAAGAGATGAATCACTATTAAGGCCCCACAGCCCCTGTGATTTCTTCTCCAGGAAGCCTTCCCTCTGAGCATCCTGGAGCACCCTCCCTGCCCGACCCTGTTCCCAAGGGGGTTTGTTAGGTTTTCCTCCGGGAAGTTTCGCCTTAGTCTTCTGAACAAACCCCTAGCTTCCCACCTGCAAAAGGAACTACTTATAACTTTTGCTCTATGTTCTTCCAGGCCCAATTGTAGTAATTTGTATTACTTGCATAGTTACATCTAGAAATAATATTGATTAACATTACTAGTTAGTATTTATGCGCCCTTCTCATTTGCCATGTACTGTATTAAGCACTTTTTAAAAAAATTGTGGTAAAATATACACAGTAATGGACATTTGGGTTGTTTCCACCTTTGGCTGTTGTGAATAGTGTGCTACTATGAATGCGGGTATATAAGTATCCATTTGGGTCAGTGTTTTCAGTTCTTTGGGGTATATATGTATGGATCTAGAGTAGAATTGCTGGATCATATGTTAGGTAGTTCTTTGTTAACCTTTTTACTGTGCCCGATGGGAAGTAGGCCTGAGTAAGTGCGGTGCCAATAAGCCTGGGTTTTGCATGATCTAGTGACTCCCAGGGAGTGGAATATGAAGTTCCACTCCAGCCTCCAGCCACTGGGGCAGATGTCTGGCTGGGGAGGGGTGGGGAGAAGAAGAGAAGAAGCCTGTGACTGGACGTGGGGGAGGGGGTGGCTTCTGGGACTTTAGGTCTCACCCCTCCCCTCTGCTCCCCCAGCAAGCCACGGAGGATGAGTTCCGGTTCCTGCGCTGCCAGCGCTGCCAGCGCGAAGCCAAGAGCCCTAAGCTACTGCTTTGTCTACACACACTATGCTCAGGATGCCTGGAGGCCCCGAGCAGGCAGTGCCCTATCTGCCAGGCTGATCAATCTCGTGGCCCTAGTGGGCCCGCCCTGGATAACGTCTTCTTCGAGAGTCTGCAGCGGCGCCTGTCGGTGTACCAGCAGATCGTGGATGTACAGGCCGTTTGTACCCGTTGCAAGGAGACCGCGGACTTCTGGTGCTTCGAGTGTGAGCAGCTCCTCTGTGCCAAATGCTTTGAGGCGCACCAATGGTTCCTCAAGCACGAGGCCCGGCCCCTGGCTGAGCTCCGCGGCCAGTCGGTGTGCGAGTTCCTGGATGGTACACGCAAGTCCAACAACATCTTCTGCTCCAACCCCAACCACCCCAGCCCTATGCTTACTAGGTGAGCCAGTGGCCTGGCCAGGGTGGGGCGGTACATCAAAAAGCTGGGGAGAGGGTGAGTGGGGAACAGAGATCCAGAGTCACAAAGCTGAGAACGTGGGCCAGGGAGCTTCTAGGGTCTTCCAACTCCAAGTGTGGTTTGCAAACAAGCAGCATCTGTGGCAGTGACCACAATTTGTGCTATGTAACGCTAGTGGATTATAATGATTTCCAGTTTCCACCTGCAATAAATGATACTGCAGAATCATCTTTGCACTCTATTCAGTAGTTCCTTTAGGATAAATTTTTTTTAAATACCATTGCTAGGTATGAAAATTTTACATTTTGATACATATTATCAAACTGCCGTTTAGAAACTCTTATAGTGAAATTTTCCACAGGCACTGCCATGGGATCTGGGTATGTAGCTGGATTCTAGGATGAGACAGATGCAGGTAGTTTCTGTCTCAAAGTTAAAACCTAACACGGTGTTATCTGGGAATGTATGTACGGAAAAAACAGTCCACTATAGTTATTATTTTAATTAAACAGCACAAGATTTGAAATCATTTTTTGATAAATAATACATTTACATGGTTCAAAAGTTACAAACAAAACAATGTAAAGAGGGCAAAGTCCCTGTTCCTCTCTCTAATCTGCCTAATTCCCACCACTTCTCCCTTCCCCATCCAGGTAACCACTGTCAGGAGTTTGGAATGTTTCCAGAGTTCCTTTGTGAATATATACAGGGATAGGAACATACAGTCTTTTGAGGACTTATTTTTACCCCTAAAAAGGCAGTGTACCTAGTGAACTTTGGGACGCCCTCCCCCAGTAGATCGCTCATGCTTCATACCTGGAAAGGGAAGGCGTGTGCTGGCCTGGTGCACCCAGAGCCACGTTCCTGTCAACCTGAGTGTGGCTCACTTCCTGCTGGTTCCCTCCCCCACCCGCATTCTTCAACAGTGGATTTCTTTGCTTACTTTTAAGATTGAGGTTCAGCTGCTTTGCACATGTTTATTGAGCATTTTTTTCTTCATTTGTGAATTGCCAATTTAAGTCCTTTGCCTTTTTTTCCCTCCTTGGAGGAATTAATCTCCCTCAGGGTAAGAGCCTGTATTAGCACAAATAGTACCTCATACAACATGAGGTGTCAGTGTTTAAGTTTTTAGTTTTATGTAGTCCAGGCCATAAATCTCTTCCTCTGTAGTGTCTGGCTTTAATCATCCTAGGAAAGATTTTCTTCCCAAGCCAATGTTAAAAATATTTTCTTAGAGTCTATTTTAATGATTTCATGGTTTTATTTTTATAATTAGATATTTAATTCAAATGGCATTTATTTTTGTGTGTGGCATACATATGGCAGAAACCTTCACTTTCGCTTTTCTCACCAAATGGAAAGCCAGTTCTCTCAACTTTTATTGATGGAGTTTAATAGTGCGCTCTGGCTCTGATCTGAACTGCCCTTCCTATGTACTCAATGCCCCTGTAGTCACGGGTATGCTTGTAAATCTCTGTTTTGTGCCAATAATCTGACTATTCCTATGCCCACCCTGCTATAAGGGGTTCTGTAACTTTATATTTGATAGGACAAGTTCCCATTCTTCAAAAATAATTTGCTTTTTTTTGCTCTTATGCAGTTTTAGAATTTACATATTCATTGGAATTTTTATTAAAATTGCAGTAAATCTGGGAAGAATTGGCCTCATCTTTTGCATTTAGATTTTTATTCACATACATATTGAACTTTTAAATTATAGTTAAATTTAGAATATTTAATAATGCTGTGAATGGAATCTTTTCCCATTAGAATTTCTAATTGATCATCATTATCATTCACTAATGGTCTTAATTTAGATTTGTTAATTACGTCTAGCCAGTTATATTGAACTCTTTTATTTTTGTAAGTTTTTCAGTTGATTCTTTTGGATTTTCTAGGTAAACATTCATATCATCTGCAAATAAGAAAATCTTTTTTCTTCTAGTCTTTTATATACATTACTTTGTGGTTTTGTTTTATTGGTCAGAACAATATTGAATAACAGTAGTTAGCAAAAGCAACTTTATCTTGTTCCTATGGTTCATGAAAAATTTTCTTATATTTTCTTGTTTAGTATGGTGTTTATTATTGACTTCCTTAGGTAGCTTTTAAAAATCAAATTAAGAAAGTTGCCTTGGGCTCTGGTCTGGTAGCTCATGATTAGAGCATCGTCCCCATCTGCCAGGGTTGCAGGTTCAATCCCCGATCAGGGCACATACAAGATTCTACCAATGAATGCATAAATTCATAAGTAAATGGCACAACTAATCAATGTTTCTCTCTCTCTCACATTAACAAAAAGAGGAAGAAAAAGAAAGTTGCCTTTTTCTTGTTTTACTAAGAATTTTATGGTTGTTTTATTTTTAAATAAAAATATTTGATAAGTGCTCAGGAATAAGTACTCTTGGATGCTGTGAGGGTTTCCTTTTACCTTTTAGTATAATGAATTATATGAAGAGTTTATGTTGAACCATTTTTTAATTCTCATTAATTCATAGCTGGAGTCCATTTATAACATCTTATTTAGTCTAATGTCCATTTATAGATGTGATCAGTTTTTATGAATAAGTGTGATTTCTTTTTCATGTTTTCTTACTCATTTTATACTAATGAGTTTGTAGTTTTCCTTTTTTAAATTTTTATTTATTTATATTTATCCTCACCTGAGCACATGCTCATTGATTTCAGAGACGAGGGAAGGGAGGGACAGAGACAGGGAGAAACGTTGATGCGAGAGGGCATGGCCCGTGGTTGCCTCCTGTGTGTACCGCCCAACCAGACCTAACGGCAACTCAGGCGTGTGCCCCGACCAGGAATGGAGCCCATGACCTTGTGGCTCATGGGATGACACCCCAACCAACTGAACCACACTGGCCAGGGCAAACCTTAACTTTTTTTAATGTGATAATGTCCATAAATTATTTAGCATAATGCCTCGCACAGGTTAACAATAAATGTTAAAAGCTTACTGTTCTTATCCTTTCTCTGCTCTGAAACAATGTAAAGAACATAAGCAATTAAGGCTTATAGAAGTTTCTTGGAAAACTATGAGACTGGTGCCTTTTTTGAAGAAGAGGAGGTTATTTTTTCCATGGTATTGATCCCTTTTGGATCTTAACTCAAATTTTCTGGAACATTTTTTAGTTCATTCTGAGTTATCTTTCAAAATTTAAAAATCTCTGTGCCTGTAAGTATATTTCCTGTCTTATTTCTAATCTACATTTGTGGTTATTTCAGTGATCCATTCAAAGTACTAGCTTTTGACCTTATAGTCCTTATTGGTATTAATGTTTTGTTTTCAAAACATGTAATGTTTGGTTTCTGTATTTGATCTTAATTTCTATAGTCCAGTCACTTAATATGTGAAAGTTCTATATCTGAGAGTATATTGAGTTTTTCTTTGGGGTCTGGCATATTCCTTGAACTAATATATACCTGGGACTTAAAAAAAAAATCTGTATTCTTTATTGAGTGCACACACATCTATATATACACACACCTATATATATGCAAATATTATATCTTATATAGCTCTCTCTTTATACTCTTGTTTAAATTTTCAACAAACATTGTTAGAACATATTTGTGTGTGTGTGTGTGTACATTTATTGAGAGTAGATTATCACTATTCTGCTAGCCAAGATAAAGCCGTTAGCATCCTTTTTCTTCTCCCTTCTTTACTTTTCCTATACCCAGATTTAGGTGAAATAACAAAATTTTACTTCTAGATTATTACCAAATTTTTATGCCTTTTTTATTATAAGCCTTCATTCTTCACAGTCAGTCAATGTCGTAATCACATTATAACTTGTTAGCCATCTTTTAGATTTTAATTTCCCACTTGGCTGGACTACTTCAAGTAATTTTTTGGTTAGTTCAGAGAAAATTTACTTTCTGAGGCCTTAAGTGTCTTAACTTGCATGTCCTTTTGCTGTCACATAAAGGAAAGTTTAGCTAGGTGTAAAACTCTGGGGTCACCACACAGTTCCTTCATACTGGAACATGTAAACATTGCTCCATAAATTACTGGCCCCCAGTCTTGCAGATGAGAAATTCAGTTACTATCTAATTATTTTTTCTTTGTGGGTAATCAGGTTTTGTTTGCTCAGGATTTCATACAATTGTTTTCTTTTTTCTTGAAATGATTGGTCAGGCTCTATCAGGTATAGGTCTCTTTCCAATGCTGCTCTACAACATTGTTGATCTGAAAATGGAAGTCTTCAGCTCAAAAGTGTTGTCTTCTGCTTTTTTATATATTGATTTCCCTTCACTTGTGTATTTTTTCCTTTTCAACTATTATATGGATATTGGAACTCTAAATATTTTACATCTTTTATACTTTTTTCAAAAACTCTGTTACTTTGCTTTTACTCTTCCAGATTCTCAGAGAGTTCTTTGAATTGATTTTCTGATTTACCAACTCTTTTATAGATATTTTATTGATTATGCTATCACAGTTTTCTCAATTTCTCCCCCCTCTGAGCTGCCCCCCTTTGCCCCCCACCTTAGTTCATGTCCATGGGTTGTACATGTAAGTTCTTTGAGTTCTCTGTTTCCCGTACCATTTTTGACCTCTCCCCATCTGTTTTATGCCTACCAATTATGCTTCTTCTTCCCTGTACCTTTTCCTCCCTATTCTTCTTTTCGCCCTCCCCTGCCACTGAAATCCCTCTGTGTGATGTCCATTTCTCTGATTTTGTTCCTGTTCTAGTTGTTTGCTTAGTTTTTGTTTTCATTGTTTGTCTTTTCTTTAAGGTTCATTTGTTGATAGTTGTGACTTTGTTATCATTTTACTGCTCATATTTTTTATCTTCTTTTTCTTAGGTAAGTCCCTTTAACATTTCATATAATGAGGGCTTGGTGATGATGAACTCCTTTAACTTGACCTTATCTGGGAAGCACTTTATCTGCCCTTCCATTCTAAATGAAAGCTTTGCTGGGTAGAGTCATCTTAGATGTAGGTCCTTGCCCTTCATGACTTT